TTTATCCCTATCTTCTTTTAGTTCTTTGATTTGTTTGTTTGTGTGTTATTTAAATTCGTTGAATTCCTTGATCATGTTTATGATTGTTCTTTTAAATTCAGTGTCCTGGGTTATCTCTAGGTGGTTCTCCTAGTAGAACTCTTGTACTAGACTGGTGGAGTTTGGTGGGGACATAGTGTTTGGCTTTCCATTTTATTTTTATTTCATTGTGATTTTGGCATGTGAATTTCTTTTGTTGTTTATGATTCTGATATGAGAGTTAAGTTAGTGATTCTTCTGTTTGTATTATCTGGGTGCCTAGGTACTTTCCTATTTGTTATGTAAGGCTGGTTGGTACAGGTTTCAGGGTCTCTCAAGTTTTATTTTGGAGGGAACTGATAACTGCCATTCAGAAGTATCCACAGAAGCCCAAGTCAGGATCTAGTCAGGTACACTCAGGCTTCCTTCTAAGGTTTGGACCCCTATTAGCAGAAACTCAGAAATTTGGGGAAATTTCCTAAGGTTGAGGTGGGGCGATTTGGGGACTCTGAGTTGGTCTGTTGTGTTCTCAGCCCCTACACCAGAAGAAGGCTAGAACTCGGCATTCTCTGGTGGTGTGCTGAGATCACAGCAGCTACACTGATAGAGGTCAGAGCTCATCCTCTCAGGCTGTCTGCTAGGATCTCAGCCTTAGCCTACCAAAGTCAGGTCTGCCCTAGGGCCTTGGGAGGGGCCTCACGCAATCCCTGTTAGGGGGGTGGGTTTGACGCAATTAGGGGAAGCTCACTGGGTGGAGGCAGTATTCCGGCACTCTCATGCAGCCCCCTGCATTCTCAGCCCCTGTGCCAGAGGGAGGCCAAAACCTGGCACTCTGGCACTGTGGTGAGATCACAGCAGCTGTACAGATGGAGGTTGGCGCCCACCTTCTCAGGCTGTCTGGTAGGATTGAGAATGCTTTTTTATAAATGAACATTATATGAAATTCAAATTTCAACATCCATGAATAAGGTTTTATTGGGACATAGCTGTGCTCTTTTGTGTATCTTCTGTAACTGACTTCATTCTGCAGTAGCAGAATTTAGTATTTAAGACAGAATATATAGCTCACAAAGCCCAAAATACTTATTTTCTGACCTGATAAATTTATTTATCCCTGGTCTGTAAGACTGCTAAATTGAATCTTAATTTTAAAAGTTCTGTAAGCATCGTAGTCCATTGAACATTTTGCTTTCATTTGTTACAAATTGCAGAGCCATGTGGGAAACTATTAGTCATATTTTCATGGCATGTTTGCTTACACATGCATTTGTGCATGTGTGTCTGTGTGTTTTGTTTCTGTTCTGCAGTGCTGGAGCTCAAACCAAGTTCCTTGGATGTGGTAGAAAAGCAGTCTCCCACTGAGGTATATCTTCAGGCCTTGTAAAATACTTCTTGATTAGAAAAAGACACTAATGTTTAAAGTTCTTGCTCAAAATTAATACCAAATTGAAACTCTGAAGAGTTTTTAAGCAGTAGAGAGTTTACACCCCCCCTTTTGAAATAGTCTATTATTTGTGCTTATGTAAATTTAATTTTTTAAAAATTTATTATTATTAGAGACGGAGTTTTGCTGGGCTGATTAGGCTGGTCCTGAATTCTGCTCCATGGAAAAATGGCTTAGTGGGTAAAGATTCTTGTCACACAAATTGGATCACCAGGAAGTCATGTAAAATGTAAAGAGAAAATCTGTTCTACAGCGCTGTCTTTGACACATAAACACACACGCACACACACACACACACACACACACACACTCACTCACTCTGAAGGCAAGTTTAAAGAAGCTTTTAAGTTCTTAGATTTCTGTTTGTAAAGTGAGTTTAAATTATTTTCATAATTTTTTTGTCCATACCTTAGAGAAAATTACTTTTGAAGTATAAGAGGTATTTTCTGTCCCTGTGTTACAAGGAATTAAATAGCTCCAAGAAATGAGTGAAAGAGAATATTGCTTTTTTTTCAAATTTTTTTGTTTTTATTTTTGAGTTAGGGACTCATTCTGTAGCCCAGCCTGGCCTTGAATTCACTGTATAGTCCAGGCTGGCCTCCACCTCATCAGTCTTCCTGCAGCTTCCTAAGTGCTGGCATTACAGTCAAATCACCATGCCAGACTTTGATTTTAAAGGATGTTAGATGATTTCACTGTGCCAAAAGTTAACATTGTATCTATCATTTTGTGACTTTTTCAAGGTAAATCAAAAGCTTTTTTCTAGTTATAAAAATGATATATGTTCACTATAAATAAAATAGAAGCTAAAGTCAGATATAAAGTCATATAAAAAGCATTAATTTACAGAAGGGAAAAACAAGCAAAGAAAGTAATTTAGATTGGCCCAATGATAGGAGCATGAGTATGGAAAAAAGTCAGTAAACGCATGTAGTAGTCTGTGGGGAAGGACCGGGCCTGTAAGCTTTATGACTCCTGGCCCCTCCTGACTATAACTTTTTAATAGGCAAGTAGCATGTTCACACACCATGATCTCCATGCTTAAATTCAGTGGAAAGGTTTTGGTTTTGGGGTGGGATTTTTGTTATTCTGCCATTTTGTTGTTGTTGTTTTTAATTATGGCAAGCAACATAATTTATGTACAGCTCAGCACTAGATATTTTAATACTGTTGTACAGTGGGTAGCTCTATGACTGTTTTCAGCTTGCAAAACTGATAGATGCTGTAGTTCTCATCTGTCCAGCCCCTGGTAACGTGAATCTGACTGCCTGATACAGATGGAATCACACTGTTTTGGTGATTTTTTTTTTTTTTTTTCTATTTTGTGATTGTATTATTTCACATGGCATAGTCTCCTTAGGGGTCTTCCATATCTTGGTGGGTATCAGATTTTCTTCTTTCCTGTTTTGTTGTTGTTTTGTTTTGTTTTGTTTTGTTTTTTCCTATGATACCAGGATTTGATCCCAGAGCCTCCTACATACCCCAGCCCTTGAAATAGGTTCTTGATATGTTGCCCAGGCTGGTCTTGAATTTGTGACACACCCACCTCAGCTCCCAAGTAGCTAGCTGGGTTACAGGCTTGCACCACCAGGCCTGGATTCCTTCCTTTTAATGGCCATCCTGTATGTCTTATTTTGAGGGGTTATTTCCACCAGTGGCTCTTATGGATGATGTTAAAATAACTATGGATATATTCCCTCTTTGAATATTGTTTTACCCTGGTCCTGGCTGGCTTGGAACTCTGGAATTCGTAACTCTGTACACAGTGATTACTACTGGTTTTGTTTGTTTCGTTTGCTTGTTTTTATTTTTTATTTTTTTAATTTTTTTGTCTTTTTGAGGCAGGATCTCCCTATAGCCGCACTGGCCTAGAACTAACTATGTAGACTAGGCTGTCCTTGAACTCACAAGAGATCTGCCTGCCTTTACCTCTCAAGCGCCGGGATCAAAGGCGTTGCACCACCATGCCTGACTGTTTTGATTCTTTTTTGGCCTAGGATTTTGTTGTTTTGAAACAACAACAATTGATGTAGAATTCAGTCTTCCTGCTTTAGCCTAAGTGCTAGGATTACAGGCATATGCCAGTGTTTCTGTCTTGTTACTGATTTTAAAATATCATTTCCGTTGCACGTTAGGATTTGGGAAATCAAGGTATAAAGTTGATAGGTTATTATTGGTACTTACTACATTGCAAATTGGTACAGCACTTGTCTGTGTATACAAAAGACTTTAACAGCAGTGTTTTGAGTATAGTGTTGGGGTGTTTAAAAGGTAAAGGAATCTGGCCAGGCATGGTGGCGTATGCCTTTAGTCCCAGCACTCAGCAGAGGCAGGCAGATCTCTGTGAGTTCAAGGCCAACCTTGTCTACATAGTGAATTCTAGACCAGAAGACCCTGTCTCAAAAAAAAAAAAAAAAAAAAAAAGGTAAAGGAATCTAGTACATTTCATGTATCTGTTGTTGTGAAATAAATCACCTGAAAACTTACTGGCTTAGTAGATAATTATCTATCGTGATTCCTTTGGTTTAGCCAGGCAAATCTTCTCCATATATATTGTCTGCCTCAGGAAGAGCTGAGACACTAGCAGTTAGTGCTCTCTGCTCAGGGAGCTCAGCTCAGGGAGTCAGCTGGAAATCTCAGTTCTTCATGAGGCTATTTTGACTACTCACAGTATGAGAGCTGGTACTGACTGTTAACAGGGCTCAAGGGAACAAGCCCAGTGAGACAGAACTTATCTGACCTCCCGGTGTGTTAGTCCCCCAGCAGAGCTGGAAACGGCTGAGTGAAGTCTGAAGATGACAGCTGTAGGAGGGCTAGACTGGGAGGCGTGGCTCCACAGTTCACTGGACACCATACTTGTGTTGAAGGCATATTTTAAATGAGAGCATATAGTGTATAAGTTCTAGAACTTGTTTCAGAATGCAGGATACATAGAAAATTTCTTCATAAAATTTTCAAGTGAAAATGCTTTTCCAGTTTTTAATGGAAGATATGAGTAGTACTCTCTTTCTTTACTTCGTTGAAATTTTTTTATTGATATTAGATTTTTTTTAATATTTTATTTTATGTGTATTCATGTATTGCCTGCATATAGATAAGTGCACCTGTGTCGTGTAATGCCTGCGGAGGTCAGAAGAGGTTATCGGATCCCCTGGGACTGGAGTTACAGAAAATTGTTAACTACCATATGGGTGCTGGGATTCGAACCTGGGTCTTCTGCAAGAACAACCCGTGTTCCTAACCGCTGAGCCATCTTTCCAGCCCCTAGATTTTTTTTTGTATTAAATTAAAAATAAGTGTATTTTCCTTTAACTTAACCTACCATAACTTAGAATAAACCCTTGAATGTTGTAAAATAGTAAGGAGAATAATTCTTTGGAGGCCCAATTTTGATTGAATAGTTATCTCTAGTTCCTTCAACTTTAGGTTGACAGATAACACTGTTTGTGTCAAATTAATGCTAAAGTTGTATGCTTTTTATGACAGGAAATCTAAGATAAAACTTGAATTTGAATTACTTTATTTTACTTTCTTCTAGTGCATCTATCCCTTGGGCTCTAAATCACTTACTAATTTAATTTCTCCTGATTTGGAAGATTGTCACACTCCAAATAAACCCCAAAAAAGAAAGATACTGGAAACCAGCTGTAAAGATTTTCCTCTTTTAGTAAATTCCAAAAAGACTCGATACCATACTGTTACTGATGCTGAGCAGATTTTGAACCATAAACATAATGGAGAAGTATGTGGTGAAACTTCATCTAATTTACCAGGTAATGGTCACCAGAATCCAGGGAGGACAATTGGTTCCTTGGAGCAGAATGAGACTTTGGAAGTTGTTGTGGACATGGCTACTGAAGAAGACGCTGCTTCAGTTGACGTCTCTGGAAGTGGGGCAGTGCTCCCACAGAATGAAAGATCTGAACTGGAAGTGCCGTCTGAGAGCCGGTGTTTATCGTTTTGCCAGACTTTGTGTGTCCAGTGGGAGAATGCTCAGGCTCTCTGCTGGTTAGACTGTATCCTTTCAGCTTTGGTGCACTTGGAAGGATTGAAGAACACTGTGAATGAATTGTGCTCCAAGGAGGAATGTGTATTTTGGCGGTTATTTGGAAAATATAATCAAGCAAATGAGCTTCTGTACACCCACCACTTGCATGGTGTTAAAGGTTTGTACTAATATATTTCCTTTAAGTTTTGTACCTGTTAATGTTGAATTCCTCTTCCTGCATGTGGAAGAGACACCACAAGCAGTTTTTGTTCTCTGTAGAGACCTAGGCAGGGAACCTGGGGATTATTTATGCTAGTTACAGACCATGACTGGCTGCAAAGGCAGCCTTTTCTGATAGTGAAGAAGGGGCCACTGATCATAGCTTGTCAGGGTCATAGAGCTCATCAGAGTAAAAATCTAAAGATTTTAAACTCTTTAAAAAGTACAATAAAGTAGTAAGCAAGAGTTTCCCCATGGGGCTGGAGGAATGGCCCAGTAGCTGAAAGCACTTGCTGCTCTTCTAGAAGACCTGAGGTCAGTTCCCAGCACCTACATCTCTCTGCTCACAACCACTTGCAACTCCAGCTCGAGGGGCTCTGATGCTCTCTTCTGGTCTCTGGGCATTGCACACAAGTTATCACATACACACACACACACACACACACACACACACACACACACACACAAACAGTAAAGACAAATCTTTTTTAAAAAAAGTTACATATAATCTCCAGTACCCTGTTCTTTACAATGAGGGGTACACATATGACTTGGGCATCTTTGGATTTGGATATCTGTGTAAATGTATATGTTCAAGCACACACACACACACACACACACACACACACACATATGAGCATGTTTATTTTGGTTTGGAGACAGTGTCTTTCTTTGTAGCCCAAGCCAACCTAGAAATTGCAATCCTTCTGCCTTAGCTCCTAGAGTAATGTAATTATCAGAATGTACCATTGCACCTATCTTCTCTAAAATACAATACTCAAAAACTCACCTTCCAACCAAAGAATTAAAACATTTTCAGGCTGGTGAGATGGCCCAGGGTGTCAAGGTGTTTGCCACCAAGCCTGATACCTGGTCTACAGTCTAAGACCTACACGGTATGGCAGGACTGACTCTGACTACCACAGTGCATCCATATCCACCTGCCCCACAGAAATACATGTAAAATAATAATAATAGTAGAAATATATCAGTAGAGTCTTCCTTCAGTATGTATGTATAATGGGTGAGTTCTAGGACATTCAGACACCAAAAACCAAGGATGCTCAAGTCCTTTATTTGAACTAGTGTAGTATTTGTATAGTTTCTATGTATGTCAGTCCATAAGCTTTGAGACAGGGTCTCCCTGTAGGGTTCTCCAGCTGTCCTGGAATTCACTATGTAGACCAGGATGATCTTGAACTCATAGAGATCCACCTGCCTCTGTCTCCTGAGTGCTGGGACTAAAGGCATGTACCACCATGCCCGGCTAAACTTTATTTTTTTAAATGACTTTAGGGTTGAGCTAATTAGGTCCATTTGCCCCATGCAACTTGATTTTACTTTATTTATGAGACTGGGAATCAAACCCAAGGCTTGTACATGCTAGGCGAGAGATCTGCTGAACACCCTTAGCACACCCCATATATTTAAAACCATCTCTGGATTACTTATACCTAATATAATGTAAATGCTCTGCAAATACTAGTTATATTGTTTAATACTGACAAAGAAGTGTGTTTAGTACAGATGCTATATTTTTTCCCAAATATTTTCAGTCTGTGGTTGGTTGGGTATAGAGATGTGGGCTTTCTGGTATGTTTTGTTGGTTTTTTGAGACAGGGTCTCCTTGTAGCCCCAGCTGGCCTAGATCTTAGATCTACCTGCCTCTGCCTCCCAAGTGCTGGAATCAAAGGTATTTGCTACCTTGCCTGTCTCTCAGCTGTATGTTTTTTTATTCATCAGTGGAGTTTTTGTTTTTTTTCCATTACGAATGTTGCTGCTGTGACCATGTTTGGATGATTCTGTTGGGGCATAGCATGAGTAGGTGTGTGCCCTTGGATATACCATAGGAATGGAATTGTCAAATATAGTCTCTGAGTCTAGATTTACATATAATGGCAGTTGTTTCACAGTTGTTGTGCCAGTCAGCACTCTGATCAGCAGTATATAAGATCCTTCCTGGCCCGTAAATTCTCCCTGGGTAATTTTCACTCTGAAAATTTTGCTATTTTAGTGATACAAAATAGTTCTCAGAATTCAAAGAAATTGATCTTTTGTCTCTTTATGTGTACATTGGCGTGTGTGTGTATGTGTATGTGTATGTGTGTGTGTGTCTGTGTCTGTGTCTGTGTTCGTTCCTGCTTCTGTGAAATGCCTGTTTGTATTGTGGCCCTGCTCATTCTGTTGATGGTCATGTTTACTGCTTTGGATGCATTTTCTTTTTTTTCTTTCTTTTTTTTTTTAATTTTTATAAAACTTTACTGAGAATTTCATACATGTGGATGCATTTTCTTATATCCTTGTTAATATTTTAGGTCAAATAAGTATTTCAGGTTTTTCCCATTTTGCAACTTTTAAATTTTTTTAATTTAATTACATGTATTTAGATTGCTTAGATATTTATTGTACATATACATATATATGTATACATACATGTGCCAGGACATGTATGTGGAGGTCAGAGGACAACTTGCAGGAGGAGTCTGTTTTTCTACTATGTTGGATCTGGGGTTCAAATTCAAGAATTCAAGTTATCAAGGGTGGAAGTACCATTAGCCTCAGCCTTCTCACTGGCCCTTTTTTTTTTTTTTCCTTTTGAGACAGGGTTTCCCTGTAGCCTCAGCTGTCCTGGTCCTATGTAGACCAGGCTGGCCTTGAACTCACAGAGATCCACCTGCCTCTGCCTCCCAAGTGCTGGGATTAAAGGCGTGCGCCACCACACCCAGCTTTTTTTTTTTTTTGCTTTTTAAAAGATGTCTTAATTTATAAGAAAGTCTTTAGGTTTTTAGATTTCCTTTTGGGCAAGTAATATTTGTGGCTTTAAAAGAAAAATTTTCCTCTTTCTACATGTAGAACATCATTCACTGATATTTTCACCGAAAGTCATCAAGTTTTGCTTTTTACTGAAATTTGTTTTTACAAATTTTATTTTTTATTTTCATTTTATGTGTTTGAGTGTGTTGCCTGCATGTATGTAAGTGCACCCGTGTTATGCAGTGCCTTTGGAGGTCAGAGGAGGAGGGTGTCAGATCCCCTGGAACTGGAATTACAGACGATTGTTAGACTCCATGTGGGTGCTGGTCCTCTGCAATAGCAGTCTTTGCTCTTAACCTCTGAGCCATCTCTATGGTCTCTCTTACTGAAATCTTTAAGAATTTTTTTTTTGAATAGGTTTGTTTATTTGTGTGCTTATGTGTGCATGCATGTAAAAGCCAGACAACAACTTGGAGGAGTCAGTTCTGTCCTTTCACCATTTGGATCCTGGAATTTGAACGCAGGTCATCAACCTTGGTAGCAAGTGCCTTTACTGCTGAGCCCCCCTGCTAGCCCCTGAAACTGGAATTCTTTTTTTTGGTCTTTTTGAGACATGGTCTCCCTGTAGCCTCAGCTGTCCTGGAACTCACTATGTAGACCAGGACTGGCCTTGAACTCACAGAGATCCACCCGCCTCTGTCTCCCAAGTGCTGGGATTAAAGGCGTCTGCCACCACGCCTGGCTGTTTCAGATTTTTTTAAAAATTATCTGGTTGTTTTTATTTGTGTGTGTGTTTTACAAATATGGAATGCTTCACACATTTGCATGTCATCCCTGTGCAGGGGCCCTGCTGAGCTTTTCTGTATTGTTCCAATTTTACCATATGTGCTGCCAAAGCGAGCATATGGGTTTTACGTGTGTGTGCAGATGCCCGTGGAGGCCAGAGGTGTCGGTTTCCCTGGAGCTGGAGTTAGAGGAGTTCTGAGACTGCTACTCAGAAATAGCAAAGGAATATATGGTATATCACAGGAGGCAGAATAAGAAATGTATTTTGCTTTTTCCAATATCTGTAAAACTTGCTGATAAACTTTCATTCTTATTATCTTGGTTTCTGTAGAAAGATGGATTGATGAGAAATTGGGAATGTTCTGTTTTTTTTAAAGGTGGAAATTGTGAAAAACTTACTTCAGAAATATTTGCAGAGATAGAGACCTGTCTGAATGAAGTTAGAGATGAAATTTTTACTAAACTTCAGCCTCAGCTTCGATGCACATTAGGTAAGTAATTTGTATAGTTTAACTCATCCATTGTAGAAATTTGTACATCATATGGAAATGTGTTATTTTAGTACTTGGATTGAATACTGGAGATCCAAACTCAGGCCCTCATGCTTGGAAAGTATGTGTTTCATTGACTGAGCCATTTCCTTTCCCCAATTTTTTTTTTTTTTAATATTCTGTCATATTTATTTTTTTCTCATCTTTAAACATTTTATTTATTATTTTTACTGTATATGAGTGTATTGCCTGCGTGTATGTAAGCGCACTCCTGCATTCTCTGGAACTGGAGTTATGGATGGTTCTTAGCCACCATGTGGGGGCTGTGAACTGAACTCGGTCCTCTGCAAGGACAGCCAGTGCTCTTAACCACTGAGCCATCTCCAGCCCTTACCTTCTCCAATCTTTGTATTAACTCAATATTCCTATGACATTCCTAGTTAGCAATTGTCTGTAGGACATTGTGTAAAACCTCAATGCCTAGCCCGGCGTGGTGTCGCACACCTTCAATCCCAACACTTGGGAGGCAGAGGCAGGTGAATCTCTTTGAGTTTGAGGCCAACCTGGGCTACAGAGCGAGTTCCAGGCCAGCTGGGGCTATGGGGAGACCCTGTCTCAAAAAGACAAAAAAAAAAACCAAAAACCTCAATGCCTTCTAGTATTTCTCTCAGCAAGTGATATTTCATCGGTCCCATGTATTATATTTGGAGATAATGTGTTTTGTTCATACCTGACAGCTTTGGACATATGTGTCCCACACTTCTGCTTCCCATGCTGCTGCTCTGTTTTTCATAGACATACATACAACTTTGTTCTGTTTTTATAATATTAAACTGATTGTCAGTATGCCTTGTCTCTGACAGTGCCTTCTCTAGGTGTAAAGACTGTTCTCATTTATTATCAGGTCATACCTCTGAGGTGGCTATTCCTTTTTCAGAGTATAATTTACATAAAACTCATTTTAACTATATATAGTTGTAGAACCATCAAGATCATGGCGACTGCGAACCATCCTTAACTCCTGTTCCAGGGGACTCTTGAAGCCCTCTTCTGACCTCTGCGGCACTGTACGACACAGGTGCACTCACATGCAGGCAATACACTCATACACATAAAATAAAAATAATTAATAAAATATTAAAAAAAAAACCAAATCTATCACCCTAAAACTTTATTAGGCTCCTTAGTAGTATACCCTTCCCTCCCCTTCATCCACTGAGGTTTGGGGTAAATACTCATTTCATAGGAGCCATTTCTGTAAGAGTGCAGACTGAATCATTTTCATGTTCTAGTCAGCAAGTATCTCTTTCCCCTAGAGCACCCCAAGGTGGGAACTAAAGAGTAATTTTTGTTCCAGTGAATTGCAACCCCTTTTTTCCTCTGATAGTTGTTTTAAAGCAAGTTGCCTCTCTTGCTTCCTCTCTGCCTTACTTAGAACCAGTTTTCTGTGTACTGAGAAAGAATTTAAATTATCACTATTATAATCATCATGTTGAACACAGGTACAGTGGAAGTCCTCTTTTACTTGTATTCATACCCTTTCAATGGTAGAGCCTAAAATCTACTACTAGAGACTCCTCTACTTCAGAGAACTTTAAAATCTTACCATCTGTGTCTTACTCTGAATATTAACGTTTATTTCAAAGAACTAAAGACATAGAACTAGAATACTACTTAAACTTTTCAGATCACCTTTATCTTTTTTTTTTTTTTGGTCTTTTTGAGACAGGGTCTCCGTGTAGCCCCAGCTGGCCTGGAACTTGCTCTGTAGACCAGGCTGGCCTCAAACTCACAGAGATCCACCTGCCTCTGCCTCCCAAGTGCTGAGATTAAAGGCATGCACTATGGCGCCTGGCATCATTTTGATTATTGGTGTGTGTGTATGAGTGTGTATGAGTGTATTGCCTGAATATATGTAAGTGCACCCGTGTTGTGCAATACCAGTGGAGGTCAGAGAAAGGCGTTGGATCCCTTGGAACTGGTATTATAGACTGTTGTTAGCTGCCATGTGGGTGCTAGGAATTGAACCCTGGTCCTCTGGAAGAACAGCAACTATTCTTAACCACCTAACCATCTCTCCAGCCCCTTGATTATTGTTTTTAAAAGATAACTATAAATCATCCTTTTTGCTCTCCCACTCTGCAGTTTAAGAAATATACCATTATAAATAACTACAATTCCCTTTGTACCCCTCTCCCCCAGTTCTTTCTTTCTTCCACACAAAGGTAACTGTTATCTTTTAGTCAGTGCTTTTTTTGTCTCTCCAGTATCTGTACTAATTTATAAAAAACAGATCAAAAGCTAATAATAATCTCTTTTTATCACGTTGGTGTAAGGGTACCTAGACGGTAAGAGGGTCTGGAGTCTAGGTCAGAACTTTCCCTTTAGTGTACTTTATGATAAATGCACTCATGAAGATAGAAAAAACTGCAGCATATTTATATACAAAAAGGCTTTTAAAACTTTGGAAGAAGATCTATGTGGATGTCTTCTTTACCACTTCAGAGTGGAGAATTATTCCCTATGTAAATTAGGCTGGCCTCAATCTCACAGAGATCTGCCTGCCTCTGCC